TTCCTTCTGGCATCAAGAGGCAGATTGACTCATGTTTTTCGTTTCTGGCTAAGGGCTGAATAATGAAAGGCTAAGTGCAGCTATAAGCCAAATCTCCCGAGTGCCAGGGAGTCCTGACCTCATCCCGTGCCCTGCTACAACGGCATGGCAACAGGAAGCCTTGGCATCAGCAGCCAGAGAGCCTGTGTGACTGACTGATGCACAGGCCAGGGTAAGTTCTGAGGTGGGGGAGGAGATGGGAGCAGAATTGCTACTTTTCTATTAAACTGTTTGTGCTGACCAGCAATTATAAGCTGTGAGTTTACTACTTAGAATCCAATCCAAGAGAGTTCATCTGAGCTAGTCAAGTAACATGTTGTAGAGCAGTGGAAATGGAGAGGTTGAGGGTCCTGGGTTGGAGTGCAGGCATCACTCACTACAGACACACATGCACAGGTGTGCTGGTCCTTTCCTGCATTTCTCTAGAGATGCTGCCCCTGCCCACCTGTCTCGCCAAGTCACTCCCCAAGGTTCATGAAAGCAATCTGTGTAGTGGTTGTGTGACCTCATGACCTCCCTACAAGGCAGCTGACTTTGGTCACTGGGGGGAATCCCCCAAAGCAGAGGAATGTGCCTCACGTGCAGATCCCCAGAAATGCCAAGGCTGTAACCATCCCTGCCTTCCCACCGGGAGGCCAAGAAGCAGCAGCGATGGCAACAGGGTGTTCGGAAACTGGGCAAAGCGGTTTCTGGTCCTTTCACACAAAATCACACAAAAGAATCCGTCTTCTTCTGAAAGCAGAAGATAAAAGAGGAAGGTTTCATAGATCCAGCTACTCACCAGACTTTTCCTGAAACCTCAAAGCAGAAAAGGCTCAGCTCCGGACATTTATAGTCGGCCACACTGTCTCCATGTGGCCCAGAAGGCGGGTGTTGTGAGGGTCGCAGAACGAGGGAGCCCTGAACCCAACCTTTGCCAGAACTCTGCCCACCTCCCTGCAGGGGTGCTGGGCTGAAGGAAGGAGACCCGGGCGTTCTTATAAATGCCTTATAATGTAAAAGTGAATTGGAAAGAACAGAAAAGTTGCAATGTGGGTATCTTTCCATTTATTTTCTTATCCATGGCTCTGCCCACATTTAAATCCAAGAAGAAAAATAAATAAATGAATAAATCCACTTCCCTTCCTCCTCGAAAGTCAATAAAGTTCCCCAGTGGAATTTGTCAGGTTTACATTATAAACCTTCCCTTTACTTGATGTATGCAGCTGTGGAGAACAGGCTTCTCTTCAGCCACTACATAAACAACATATATGCTCGTAGAAAACATACATGGTGGCAGGCATGTGCCTCGGCAGGAGGGCTCAGGGGACACCGCGGCTTTCACTGAGAATTCAGCTGGAGGTCATTCCCCCTGCTTAGTGAGGGGCTTTGCTCCTGGGAGTTGAGCCAGGATCGGAGAAGGCTCTGGCCGGGTGGTAGAAGGAATGCCATGTCAGTCCTGGTTTCTGAGGAGCCACAGAAAGATGCTACCATGGCAACCACCATCAATAGCTCAAGTTTATTAAGCAATAGCCTTCATAGAAGCCTCATTGGTAAGTCAAGGTTCAATTTCAAGAAGGAGAGAGAGACTAGGACAGGAACAAGGTTATTTGAATGGTGGACATTATGGGGCAACTATATGGGATATGACAATGAGAGTTGTAACCACAAGGAGAGAGATGTGTGGCCAGCCTGCAGACAACCCCACGTCTGGCTTTGTGCTGGTCTGAGCCCCGGACGGTGAGGGACACAGGCTCAGTGACTTCATTTCACTCTCTGCCCCAGGGCAGGTCCTCTTCCTGCTGGCAGGTGGGACTCTGGCTAACTCCACCAAAATGATGGGAGAGCTGAATTCTCTGGTGCCATTCATGAGGAAAGGAACAAGGCGAAGTTAGAAAGCATGGGTGCATGAGCAAGAGACAGCATTACCTGGACCTCGCTTGGCAGATGCGGTAAAGGCCAGAGGAGGAGGAGTGGGAGCCTGCTCCCTGAGCAGAGACAGGGGAGAGGAAATGGACACGGCGAGCTTGGAAAGTTGAAGGCAAATGAGAGAATAGATGGAGAAGGGTGAGCGAGGACCATCTATGTTTCGGAGAAGACAAAGATTGTTCAAGAAGTGACGGGACTAAACGCAAGTGATGGATCATAACTCTCAATCCATCACAAAAGTGTGGACCCTGGAACCGGGGGCTCCTGGGGGCCCCTGCACTGTACCTGGTCTGAGGACCAACAGAGAGGCTTCGGTTCTCCTCCCACCGGCACCAAAGCCACCACCGCCATGTTTCAAAGGGCACAAAGAAAAAACAAGACAGATGACAGCTCTACTGCACATCATCGCTGCTCTGGGTCTGGGGAGAGATGTCTGGGCTGTGGACAAAGGGCAGGCATACAGGAGCTTCCTTTAAAACACACCTCTTCCCACATTGGCACCAACACGCCAGCCTGGTTACCAGGCACACAGGAACAGGCGAGTGGGGTGTGCGTGTATAAAACAACTAGGTCTTGGACCAGCCTGCACACATCTTCATCTATCTGTATACATTGTGCATCAATACATACTTGCTCCTATATTTGGATTTCATATGATAGGAGAATGGAAGGATGAGGAGGGAAATTAACATTTACTGATCATCCACACAACATCGGGCCCCATGCTAAGCACTTTACATACATTTGTTTTATCTACGTTTCAGAAGTGAGAACTCAGGTTAGGAGGGTTAATATTTTGCTGTGGCTCAAGGACACAAAGCTGGAAAGTAGAGGGGCTGGGATTGAAACAAGGGCCCGTCTGGTTCCACAGCCCAACCTTTCCTGCCAATCCATCTTGTTACACCAGTGGACTCTGTTCTGTTCTTCCTAAAGATATGCTGGGTTCGGCCAGGTGCGGTGGCTCAAGCCTGCAATCCCAGCGCTTTGGGAGGCTGAGGCAGGTGGATCACAAGGTCAAGAGATCGAGACCATCCTGGTCAACATGGTGAAACCCCATCTGTACTAAAAATACAAAAAATTAGCTGGGCATGGTGGCGTGTGCCTGTAATCCCAGCTACTCAGGAGGCTGAGGCAGGAGAATTGCCTGAACCCAGGAGGCGGAGGTTGTGGTGAGCCGAGATTGCGCCATTGCACTCCAGCCTGGGTAACAAGAGCGAAACTCCATCTCAAAAAAAAAAGATATGCTGGGTTCTTTCTGATATGCTTCTCTCTCCTTGTCCTATATACTTCAAAGAGAGACACATGATTTTTAGTGAGATCAAATAAGAAGAATGATATGGTGAATAATCTATGCAAATGAATTGATAAAATGAAAAGGGAACTTGACCTTTTAAAAACCCAAAGATAATATTTATCTCTAACAAAAAAGTGGGTCTCCTTAGGGCAAAGGCAGATTTTAATCCATCTTTCCAAGAAGTGGGCAGGGGAGCTGGATGTCCTTTGATGGAGCCAGAGCTGCCTTTCCTTTCATTGCACAATGAGAATCCAGACAGGACCCAGATGCTTGAGAGAATACCCTATGCTTCTGTAAAATTCTCTTAAGAACAGCCCAGCCACATCTGACAGAAAACTTTCTTTTTGTGGGTGGCATATGTGACTGCACACAATGGAATTAGCATGTGCACAAGGGGACAAGGGACACTGGAGTTACCTTGATCACCAGCCCAGTTCAGGATCACAGACTATGCTCAATGTGGTTCTCTTTTGAAGGGTCTCTCGTGGCTGAGGAGGCAGTGGATACAGTCCACTTCCAGGTTCTGGGAGATCCTACAAACCTAGCACAGCTGGGGACCTTGTACCTCTCCTTAAGACAGAGAGCCCTCCACTATCTCCACCCCAACCAGGCCACTGGAGAAACATCCCGTAACTCTCACCCCACCTATTTTTCTGCCAGAAAAGATAAGAGATGTGCTTGGGGAAAAGCACTGTCAGCCTCCCCGACTGTCTAAACATTTGGAAGGGCAAATCATTCCAAGCATGATCTCTTTCTAAACACTTGGAAGGGCAAAGCTTTGGAGGAAAAACCACTTGGAAGGGCCAATGTCTGAAGACACTGTGCTCCTTCTCCAGCTGCCGTCCATGACAGCAGCTCCGAAAGCTCTCTTGCTGTGCCACATGGTATAGCTAGCCTTGGTTAGACTGAAGATGACGCTTCCACTTGTACTGACTTAAGAGACGGCTCCGAGAAGTCTGCTGTGCCTCCTGGAAGAGGCTGAAGCTGCTCAGCATGAACAAAGTACAGCCAGGACCCCGAGGCTCTCATTCATCCCACTGGTGCACTCTACACACCTGGTTAGGACAAAGGCCCAGAGAGCATTCCATTTCCTAGTTACACCCAGGAGGGCTGGAAGAGCCCTTTCCTTGGCTAGATTTCACAGGAAATGTCAGAATGTGATTGAAAACAGCCCACAGCTGGATCCATGTGTGTGGGAAAAAGAAATCCCCCAAATGTAATGAAGGTGATTTTGTTCATTACACCCCTAAAGATGGGGTGGGTAATGGTTTAAGACTGTTTTCCTAGGGATGTTATCAAGGAAAGTTTGGAAGGCCTTTCCTTTTGGAGATTAAACGTATTATTAGGTTCCTGCAAAAGTATGGTTCTTGCATGTGTGAAGAGCCCTTATTTATGCCTGCTATGAGCAGAAAACCTCACCACGCCTAGGATTCCGTGATCTTCAACTTTGCTCTACTCTACCTTCTGCATCTTTCTTTCAAGCTGCTTCCTTGATTGACACACTCAAGAAAGAAAGGGCCATGAGCTGTTCCTGGGTCCACTGCTGAGTGCACAGAGGCACTGTCCACACTGTGAGTGCCTGCCCATGCTTATGTCTCCAGAAAAGGAATTCTCAGGGCCTCAGACTTCTCCCTCCTGATGCTCCCTACTCCTGCTTCCCCCATTCTGCCTCTCGGGTTACATGGAAAGGGCTTCAAATCAGCTGCAGTCTCCAGGAAGAGGGGAAGGAAGGGAATCACACAAGAAAAGAGTCACTTACGCCAGAGCAAAGGCCACCAATGCGCCAACTACCACCACAAAGTCCAGTATGTTCCACAGGTCTCGGAAGTAGGACCCGTCTTGCAGGATCAAGCCTTGGTCTATCATCTGCAGAAGAAGGATGTGAACAGCCACAATGAGCCTGGAAGGTGCGGGCAATACTTGCCCTGAGCTCTGTTCATCATGGCAATGCCTCCACTGCCACCATCTCCATAACCAGCCCTACACTGGAACCTGGAGAATGAGAAGGTAGAGCCAGCGGGCTGTCTGCACATAACTGAGTCCCGAGGCCCCCCTCTCATAGCCACTCAGGTTTCACTAGACTCCTTGGCTGTCATAGAACCTTGCCACATTTTTCCTTTCATTTGTGGCTCAGAATACTGGGCACTGCCACAAATGTACAGATGGGTAAATTCCCGAATGGATGAGGCCGGGAACAAGACAGGCCATGGGGTGTTAGGGTGGCTGGGACTAAATGAAGCCCAGGAAGACCCATCTCTACCTAGCCCTCTGCCTGGGCACACACCCAGGCTCAGCCAGGACAAGCACTGGGGTGAGGACTGCAGGCCCAAGCCTGTCTGCACACCCGCTGCCTGCCTCCCACTTGGGCCAGGTCCACAGGCCTGCACCAGTACAAACATATCCATGCCACTGTGTCGTGCTGAGACAGACTTCTTCAGGATTCTGAGGCCAGAGAGGGGACAGCAGAAGCCCTACTGAGGACTGCCACTGGCTGGTTGGTGGTAACACTGAGGAAGAGCTCTAGCCTAAGGAGCAGACAGAACCCATCCAAACCCAAGAGCCCAGTTTTTCTCTAGAAGCTTTTACCTTTATAACCATCTCAAAGGTGAACACGCCCGTGAACACATAGTCAAAATACCGCAGGACCTGAAAGACACATATGGCGGAGGGAAATGACCACGTGTGGCCAGCAGGCTACACGCACTCCCTACCTGCTAGGACGCATGCACTCGTGCACGCCCACACTGCTCCTCACCCACTGCGCCCTAGAATAAAGGCTTGGAATTAAAGCCCCTAGCTGGACTGAGAGAGAAATGTAGGGAGGAGGGGCGCAGGCCCTGCGGGAGGCAGATGACCTAGTGGTCACTCCTTGGCTGCTTTCTCTCGTTGGCCAGAACTTAGGTTTTTGGGTCTGAATTGCCCACAAACCTGTCCCTCAGTTCCAGATCAGGACCTGGAATCCTTGTCAGCTCCTGCCCTCCCTGTGTTCCTCATATCTCCCAACATTTCCGAGGGACCCTCAGGAGAGGCCTTGGCCCCTGCGGTGGAGCTGCAGCTGCCGGCTTCACACACACCATCCAAGACCCACATCCAAGCCCACGGGTGGCTACAGACCTGCAGAACCCTGGCCAGTTCAGGGCAGAGCCTTGCAGCATGTTGGGCTGGGAAGGGGCTTGTCTGGGAATGGTTCATTCCCAGACAATTTCCAGTCCTTATTCATTCCCGGCAACCTTGCTACCATCTCGGTTCACCTCCAGTGCTGGGAGAGGGTGGGCACCAGGGCACTACGGAGGCTGGCACGTGGTCCCTGTGCACCCACTTTGTTGCGCTCCGAGTTGGTCAGGACAGGGTCCTCTGCCGCCAGGGCGATGCTGCTGGCCGCGATCACCAGGAGGATGCACATCTCAAAGTAGCGCAGGTTCACTATGTAGTGGCAGGCCCTCCGGATCCTGCGGGCGGTGGAGTACGGCTGAACGGACCCGCTCCCCCATTGCTCCCCACCGCACCCATGCCCTTATTCCTCACTCCCCACATACACACATCAGCCCCATCCAGACAGCCAGGCCCTCGCCAAAGGAAGCCGCCAGGGAGAGCAATTTAATTTCTCAGGCACCACCCTTGATTTAAAGCCCCAGTGGGGGAAGATAATCAGATTGGTTAGAGGCTGCAGCACGCAAGCCAAAATGCATTATCTGCAGGCACGTCTGAGCCATGGGGAGCAGCCAGCATCAGCCTACCAACTCAGGGCGGCTGCACAGCACCCTCTGCTGTATCTCCATATCTACGCTCCCACTGTAAGGAAACTGGGACATCCCAAGGAAATTACAAAGGACCAAGAAACATAAAAATAGATCTTGATTCTAAGATTCCTGATGAAAGCAGTAATGGGTTTTCATGAGCCCCAGGTTATTCTGGTTAAAGTAGCTGCATTCTACATTCTGCATTCTAGCCAGGGATGGCTCACGTGCCTTAACCCAGGAGGCTGCTCCCTTCCCAGAGTCCTGCTGGAATGCTCTTCCCAAATTCCATCTTTCCTGAAGCTAATCTTCCAGACTCCTCTCTGCCACCCCTACCTCATGCCCTTGTGTCTCCTCTGAGCGGCCTGCTCAGAGCAGACCATTTCAAATCTCCACATGTAGAGCACTGTGACCAAAACTCTCAACTCCAAGAGGTGATCTGGTGTTCTGGGCTCCACATTCTTGGGTCTATCCACTTCTGGAACATTTGGTGACACAATCTCAAGATTTCCTTCCACCCTCCATGCTATCTACGGACCAAAGACTAGGTGAAGAGTTCCTTTCTGATGACATTACTCTTTCAGCTATGGACACAGAGCTCAGAGGCTGTCTAACTTACCAACCCACCTCACTTAGTGGGAAACCCTAGATGCTCAATGTCTGACCACACTCCACCAGAAAGGCTTGAGGTGACTGGACCCTCATCGTTCCTCTCCCCTTCACCCTGCCCTGCCTCGCACCCGGCCATTTACCCTAGCACCAAAGAGGCAGCAATGCGAGGGTGGCTTACGGGTTGGTGGTGCTGAAGATGAACATGGAGCTGTGGGGCACCATGGCTTTGCCCGTCTCACGTTTCTCCTTCTTCTGCTTCTTGTTCTCCACCTCCTCCTCATCATCTCTGATCTCTGCCTCCTTCAAGGGGCTGGCTTCCCCATCCGTCTTGTTGCTAACTGCAAGAGGATCACGTTGAAATCTTCAGAAACCATGCTGCTTGTGAAAATGGCACCCTTTGCGTTTAGTTGGGGATGAAGGGACAGGAGGAGAAAGGGCTCCAGGGACGCCCCTGACAAGGTGCCCTGCATGCACCAGACATTGAGTTCAATGCTTCTTATTTTTACCCTCCTCAAATGTTATAAGAAATAACTTTTTATGTCATATAAACGACTATGATCCTGTGTCCCCTTTTAAGGTTGAACTTTTACAGTCTGATAAACACTATGGTGTTTCTGTTTAAAGTTTACAAGGTTAAACTCTGCCCTCTTTGTACATATTCACTTATTGAATTTCCCCATTAATCTGCCCTGAGTGGCATGTGTTATTACTCCCATGATACAGATGGGAAAACTAAAGTTCAGGCAATTTAAGTACGTTTCCTAAGGCCATGCAGCTAGCATGGGTTCCCAATTCAAAATCCGGTATCCTTTCAACGAACCACCCTGCAGTGGAAGATTTCAAGAAATCATGACTCTGTTTGCAGCGGCCTTTCTGGCTATGCTTTTTTTTTTTGGCCCTGATTAATGTAGAAATGAGAATGCAATATTCATGTGAGTTTAGGTCCATGACTGCATTCCAGGATCGGGAGGATGAAGGAGCCAGAGGCCGAGTGGAGCTCTCAGCTGCTGCTCTGTTTCCATACTCAAGACACAGGGTGGGTTAAACCGGCAGGAGGCTGAAGCTATCACAGTAGGGAAAGGGCCACAGTCAGCCTCGCCCACGGCTCCCCGCTCACTGAACGACTCCATCCTGGAGCCTGTGCCAGCAGCAAAGCCCTGTGGTCCTGGCCCATGCCAGGGCCTCCTAAAGAGTAAGTCATAGGAAGTATCTAAAAGCCTTGCTATCACATGCTTTTACTTATGACCAAAGACTAGCTCCGGAAAGAGAACAGAGGAGAGTGAAGCTTCCTTCACGTTCTTTCGCATAAAAGAAGGCCCAAACACTTTGTACTTATTAAATCAAAAAAGCAAACAAGCACCAAAAGAGCTGTGAGTCTGGGATCCTGAGACATGCCCAAGTCAACCAAAGCACACGCTGGACGTGGGAGATTGCACTTTTTGGAGCCATGGCGGCACATTGACCTCAGAGAATATGAGGTAATGGAGAGGGAGCCGTGAAAGAAAGAAAAACAGGGAGAGGAGAAGACTGTCATGTGAAAGAGAAAAATACGGAAACAGAAGAAGGAAAACAGCAAAGCTGGAATCCTGTGGTCACAGTTCAGTGATATGGGGCAGCAGGTGGGATTAAGGCAGGGAGGGTGTGAGGCCAAAGGGATGGGGCATGAAGTAAGGGAAGGATAGGGTGTGGGATTAATGCAGGCATGAGCTGTGGGGTCAGGGCAGGGATTGGGTGTGGGGTCAGGGCAGGGAAGGGGTGTGGGGTCAGGGGAGGGGTGGGGTGTGGGGTCAGGGCAGGGGTGGGTAGTTGGTTAAGTGTTTTTGTTTGTTTGTTTGCTGTGTTTCCCTTTAAGACATCATTGATTAACATTTGTTGCCTAAGGGAACTGTGAGGGGAAGAACTTGTGACTAAGAGCTCCTGGGAAAAAAAGAGTTGATAAGAGTAATAGAACCAAATAAAATATTAGTACAGAGAAAGGCCTCAGAGATCATTTCGTTCAATGCTCTGGCTTCGTAGATGACAAGCAGGCCTGAAGAGACACAGAGGTGTTTCCGGGTCACTCAGCGAGCAGAGCCATGGTCCACTCCATCAGAGGCTCCCTCACCTGCTGGGGCAGCAGAGCACCTGGCACACCACAGAGAACACAACAAATATTCACACCAAATCTAACAGCTGAATCTCTAGCTGGGCATCACGTGTGATCACTCTGAAGAGACACAGAGGTGTTTCCGGGTCACTCAGGGAGCAGAGCCATGGTCCACTCCATCAGAGGCTCCCTCACCTGCTGGGGCAGCAGAGCACCTGGCACACCACAGAGAACACAGCAAATATTCACACCAAATCAAACAGCTGAATCTCTAGCTGGGCATCATGTGTGATCACTCTGAAGACTTGAGAGTGGTCATAGGGACCAAAAGCTTTGGGGAATTTTATGGGCACAGTCTAAGATGGAGAGAACTCTAGCTTATTTCTGTTCTGTTACTCGTTTTTACTTCTTAAAGTATGCTTTACTCCTCCTGGTGGTGTTTTCCATGTGGCTTTATTGGAATGGCCCCAGAGCCCACTGTCCCCACCCCTAGACAGGATAGAGGGTGGGGGGAGGGGGACAGGGACTGCGCTCTCACTGTGCACCACGGTTGAGTCCACCAAGGGGCCCACATCAGGGATGGCGACGGTGACACTGGTGCTCTCGGTGATGGCCTTGTCCGTGTTGGCCGTGATGCAGGAGAGGTCGGGCTCGCTGTGGCTGATAACCCGGCCCATGTCTAGCTGTACGTCCCCAAGCAGGGCCTGTTCACTGCTGCCTTCGGGCTCCTGCTCTGTCAGCACCGCGTCCTTCCCCACTTCCAGCTCAGGATGGGGCAGGACTAGGGGGGTGTTTGCCTCATCAAGGGCTCCTGCCAGCCCAGAGCCCCTGGACAACATCAGACTGTTGGTCCTGTGAAGAGACAGGAGGGGAGAGCTGGTGCTCAGATGCTATCTCCAAATGGCAGGTGTGCCTGGCACGAGGAGAAGCCAGGGAAGCTCAGGCAGGCTGGAGAGCACAAGACCACCACTGCCATCCACCCCACCCAGCCAGGCAGAGGCACCAAGACCCACAGCCCACTGTCTATTCCTGTCCTTCCATCCACAACCCACTTCCACAGGCCCTCGTTCTCAGGCGGACAGAGCCCACTGCCTGTTACGTTTATACCTATCTCACAAAGTGTGCAGCATCATTTCTATTTTATAAAAGGGAAAACTGGAGCTCAGAAAGGCATATATTGAGAAAGGCCTAACAGTGGCCTGTGTTCTGTGCACTCACTCACCTCCTTAAATCCTGAGCTCTCTCTTCTTGGATCGTCGGTTCCTTGGCACTGTGGTTGCCCCTCAGCTCGTGCTCCTTCTCCCCTTCAGCGGGCACGGCTTCATCCAGACTGCGTTCCTGGCTGGCAGACCTGCTCCGGGAGGCTGAGGAGGACTCCTTGCCTTCCGTCCTGACGCGGCGATGCCGGCTGCGCCGCTGGCTCTGCCTGTGCCTGGCCCGGTCCTCAAAGGTCACCACAGCCTCTCCTCCCCCAGCCTCCTGCTGAGTCGGGTCACAGTTCCCATGACAGGACCTGGGCAGCCATGGCAGCTCCCGCTGGCCCAGGGACAAGGGGGTCCTCTGGTTGTCCAGGGTACTGGATCGGTCCCCTCCCTCCCCCTTGAGGGACCCGCCACGGCTGATGCGCTCCTCATCGAACTTCTCCAGGGCCAGGCCCAGGGCCAGGCCCTCGATGGCCCTGGGTCTCCGATAAAGGCTGGGGTGGGCGTTGAGTGGGTTGAGGGGGCTGAGTGGATTGAGGGGGTTGAGCGGGTTCATGGGCGGCGCCTCTTCCCTGTTGAGGGCCTCCTGGCTGGACATCTGCATATGCTTCCTCAGCTGGCTGGTGCGCTGCTCCCACACCGACATGTGGTGCCGGCGCCTCCGCTCCCTCCTGCCAAGGGGAAAGGGCAAGGCCTTGGTCAGAGCTGGAAAGTCACAGGCAGGGAGGGAGGGTGGCCGCAGGGGCCATGTGAGAGGGCAGGACACATGGCAGGGGCAGATGGGAGCACCCAGGACCTGCAGACAGGAAGCACAGAAAGATGCGAGGAGTGGGCGGGCCACACCTGAGGAGCTCATCGGACGGCTGCCTCCCAGCCTGGCACTTTCCACTCCAATCTCTGCTTTGCAGTAGCTGAGGGGTGGCTAGGCATCAGCCTTGGGAGGAGTTCCAAGTCCCCAGGGCCTGCTGGGGCTGGGCAGGAGTCCACAGGCTCACCACGTCTTCACTCCCTGCTCTCCTTGCTTTCGGGGCATCTGCCTATGACCCTTGATTCAAGGTCAAAGTTCTTTCCTTCTCTCTCCCCCTCCTCTCCCTTCCTTCTCAGGTAACAGCCTGGGATAATGAGGGCTGAAATGGTCAGATACCATGGAAGGGCGAGAAGAGTGCCAAGCGGACTTATTACAAAGTCTTGATGTCACCCTCAAAAGCAGGAGTGCTGGGAGTCTCTTCTACGATAGCTAATAAAAGCCACAGAAGACCAGGTGAAGAGACCATCAGCAGCTCATACTCAAAACCACAATCGAACATTTCAGCCCAGGGGCCTAGAGGAGTATTCATGGGGCAGCAGGAACACACGAACACGACATGTGCAGAAGAGCACACAGGAGAGGGCTCACTGGGTGGAGGGGACTGTCACCTCCTCCCCCCACCTGTGCCTGTGGGTGCATACCTACAGACTGTGAAGGGGACACACACATGTGCCCACACGCACCCTCACAGAGGCCCACACGTAACTATACACAACCGCCTACGTGAGAGGAATACCCACCAACACTAACACAACGTATACCCACTCACAAGCCAGATAGAAGAGGGAAAAACGCACAGGTCACACACTGTAGACACACACTGATGTAAGCACATGTTGAGAGGTGCAGAGGGGATATCCACAGATCATATGCATGGAACACACACACACCAAGGCACACACTGACATGCACACCCAGTGCCACTTTGTCTATGGCAAGGACAATGACACATTGTCCCACGCCCACACGTAACCACTCACAAACACGCAAACTGGTACACACATACAGGTGGCTGCTGCGTGGCTCCCACATCGACATGTGGTGTCTTCTCCTTCTGTCTCTTCTGGGGAAGAAAAACGAACAGGTTCAGTTCACCCCAACCTCTAGGAACCTCAAGCCCCACAGCCACCAGTGGATTTCCGGAGTGGGGCGCAGAGTCCTCTGCGTGGCCATCGGCTCTCCATGTGCCTCTTTGCCCTCTGTAGACCCCCAATGTTTGACTCTCCAATGGAGTGACTTTCAATTCCTTGCTATGTGCAAATACATGGATCTGGTTTTTGAAGCACACATGCACAGGCACAAAGGCTATGCCATTTCATAGGATACACAGCTCCAGATGCTCAAATATCATGCCCCACAGGCACACACACTTCCACCTACACATCCTTTAGATTCCTATTGCGGAAATCCTGTAGACGTTGCTGAGTTGTTTCCTTCCCCTCCCCAAAGTCATTTCTAGGGCTAGCATAGCACATTTATTGGGTGTGGCTCCCCAGAGCTCATCACTCCCATAGCAGACCCTGACCCAGCTTCACTAACATGCAGGGGAGCAAATGCTCTGCCATGCACGATGTCAAGGCTACAAAGTGGTCCATGGTCAGAGGCAGCGCCATCTTTCCATAGGTCCCCATCCACGTACTCCAGGATGTGAGCAGTGACCTCTGCATTTTGAGCAATGCAGAGGCCCTGGCCATAGGCCCTGTTCTATGCTCAGCTGGGCAGAGCACAGTATTAACCTTCTCAGCCCTGTACAGAGAAAACTCTCTTCCATGTGCATATTGTGTTTTTTCAAACACAACGTTCGAATGGCAATGTCTGGGCTGTGCCCATAAAAGCAGAGAGGATGCCTGGAAAATAAGCTGTCAGCACAGGGTCAATGCTCAGGTGGGGGACAGCACATCTGGGCTATCCTTGCAGTGAGCTTGCCCCACTTACTGGCCTGATGAACTCAGTCCAGCTCAATGGACCTGGGAGGTTGGCAAATGCTGCTCCCTCCTGATAAAGCTGATACTCAACCATGAAAAACATGCTAGGGAAATTAATCCCACTCAACTGTCACCTCTCACATGTCTGCAGAGGAGCCCCACACAGGGTGGGGCTGAGGGAGCAGAGGCAGCTAGTCTGAGGCCCACTCTGGGTGTCTGGAAGATGCACAGTGCACATGGGTGTGGCTTCCCAGGAGCACCCACTGATGCAGACATCGTTGTGGAGAAGCCTGTGAGCTCCTCAACTGAATACATCCCTCAGCATCAGTGGCGACAATGCAACAAGGCACAGGTGGGGGCGGGGGTGCCGAGAAGCATGGGTAGATACAGAAGTAGAAGCATACGCTCTAGATAGGCAGCATGCACAGCTGCTAGGAAAAGCACATCACACCATCTATTTGCAAATTCTCAAATATTCAAATACCAGCTATCCAGAAGCATGTGTGTAAGAGTGTACATACGTGGATTTTTTCTCTCTCACGCACAAACATGGGCATTCACCTCTCTACTCACACATGCACAGATTCAAACTTACATTCATACCTGAAATCATACAGAGAAGCATCCACACGTCTCCAACTCGTGTGAATGCGACCTTGTGTACACCCCACAATAGCCTTGTGGAGAGGAAGGGCAGGTGGCATTCTTCTCATTTCAAAGATGGGGAATAGAGGTCTGGGATCGGAGTGGTTGTCTCTCTGAGGTTACGGAGTATATTAGTGACAGAAATATAACTAGCACTCAGGCACTGTGGATTTTAACATTGCTCCTTCTGTGTTTCTCCATGGACAGTCATGTTTGCACTTAAAGTGTAGTCCAGAAATCAGCAGTTTTGCCTCAACACCCAAGCATGGCATGAACACCTGAGCAAGGCATACACAACTTAGCAGTGTACATACACCAATGCAGGGCACACACATCTGAGCAGTGTATACACACCAGTGCAGGGCACACACACCTGAGCAGTGTATACACACCAGTGTAAGGTACACACACCTGAGCAGCATATACACACCAGTGCAGAGCACACACACCTGAGCAGTGTATACACACCAGTGCAGGGCACACACACCTGAGCAGTGTATACACACCAGTGTAAGGTACACACACCTGAGCAGCGTATACACACCAATGCAGGGCACACACACCTGAGCAGTGTATACACACCAGTGCAGGGCACACACACCTGAGCAGTGTAAACACACCAGTGTAAGGTACACACTTGAGCAGTGTATACACACCAGTGCAGGGTACACACACCTGAGAGGTGTATACCCACCAGTGCAGGGCACACACACCTGAGCAAGGCCTACACAACTTAGCAGTGTACACACACCAGTGCAGGGCGCACACACACATGAACAGTGTATACACACCAGTGCAGGGTACACACACCTGAGCAGTGTATACACACCAGTGTAGGGTACACACCTGAGCAGTGTATACATACCAGTGCAGGGCACACACACCTGAGCAGGACATATTGACCTGAGCAGGGCATATTCACCTGAGCAATGTACACACATCTGTGCAGGGCACACACAGCTCAGCAGGGCACACACCTGAGCAAAATGCATACACACCTGAGCAGTGTACACACACCAGTGCAGTGTATACACACTTGAGCAGGGCACATACACACACACCTGAGCAGTGTACACACCTGAGCAAATGCACACACACCTGAGCAAAGTACACACCTGTACAGGGCACACACAGCTGAGTAGGGCACACACACCCAAGCAAAACGCACACATACTTCAGCAATATACACACATGAGCAGGGCACACAAACCTGAGCAGTATACACACACTTGAGCAGGGCACACACCTGAGCAGTATACACACATTTGAGCAGGGCACACACCTGAGCAATGTACACACACTTGAGCAGGGCACATACATCTTAGCAGTGTACACACATCTGTGCAGGGCACACACATGAGCAAAATGCACACACACCTGAGCAGTGTACACATATGTGTGCATAGCACACACACCTGTGCAGGGCCCACACACCTGAGCAGAAGATACACACCTATGTAGGACACACACATCTGAGCAATACAGACACACCTGTGAAGGGCACATACACCTGGGCAAAGTACACACAGGTGCACACATCTTTGCAGGGCACACACATCTCCGTAGGGTACACATACCTGAGCAGAGTGCACACAGTTAAGCAGGGCACACACACCCAGAGGTGGCTCCACACCAGCAGCACATGTACAGCACCAAAGCCCGGGTCTCTGCTGGTCTTGGATGTTTGCATCACCTCCTTCCACCTTGCAGTGCCCTGATGCACACACCGCTCCATTCCCACGGCCCTGTGCCTACCCACATTTCATTCATTCTTTCATTCCAGAAATAGTGAGTTTCTACTCTGGGCCAAGCATCGTCCCATCTCACATCTCTCTAAACCCACTTCTCCCCCAGGCTTCTTCATCTCAGTAAATAGAACCACCCACTCCTAAGTGACAGCCAGTCTTACCCATCCACATTTTTGGATACCTGTGTGTATGTGTTTTTAACCCAAACTCATGAGTTCGGGGAAGGTGGAGTAGAAATTACTCAAGGCCCGGAGAATATTCCAGAGAGGAATATTCCCTATCAATCTTTGACATTTCCCTATCAATTTTTAACAATTTGGAAGGGAATTTTTCTCTCTCACTCACAGAAGAGGGATCTAGGGGCCAGGCCTCGAGTTTCAAAAGGCAAAGGTAAGATGATGGCTGTGCAGGGAGGGAGGTCCCCCTGACACAACCCTGGCATGCCACACAAGGCAAGGAAGAGGCTGTCTGGGAGCCCTTCACCCAAGCTCTAGCTAACCAAGGGCTCCTCCCTTACTAGCTTCAACTAACTATGATGGGGTCATTGCCAGGATAGATTTCCACCTCCTGGGGGTCTCAGACCCTCCCACAGATGCCCCAGCACCACTGACCACGCACACAGTCCTCATGCAGGCCCAGATGCAACAACAGGAGCTATGTGGTTCCACAGTCACTTCCCAGTCTCTCCTCCAACACCTCCCCCTGTCACCACACAGAGACTAGGCCACACAGGGCCCATGCCACCTGCCTGTAGCTCCACCACAGGTCCAGGCTGGATCCCTGAAGGAATGGATTCACTGCTCTCCTTTATCACCTCCTGTTCTCTCCCTAGTCCACTTCAACGCGGTTCTGTTTCAACCTGGCCACTGAAACGGCTCCTGTGAGGTCACTAACAGCTTTCATTCCCCGCATGGAATGGCCCCTTTTCTGCTCCTCATCCTGTGTGACCTTTCTACAGCACGTAGCACTAGCACCCACTCCCTCTTCCCGCAGTTTTCCTCCACAGGTTTCCAGCACACTGTGCGTCCTGTTCTTTCTCCTGCCTCCTGTTCGCACTCCCTTGGTCTCCTGGGCTTGTTTTTCCACTTAAGCAGGAGGAGCACTGTCAGCCACTATCCTCAGCACTCGGGTCTTTGGGTCATCCGACCCATACTGATGGCTTAAATACCAGCTAAAGGCGAATAACCTCCCCTAAATTGTTTTAATTCTGACTTTTCTTTGCTCCAGATCCAGGTAACCAATAACCTACTCAACGCTTGGACGCCTTAGAAGTGTCTCAAAATGAACTTTAGATTTCCACCAGTTTCCAGGGATCCGGTATCTACCACCGGCCTCCAACCCATGGCTTAGTCCTCAAAACCTTCAAACCTGCGATCAGTTTTTGTCTTCCCTTTCATCCTCGCCCCTGCCACATTTAATCCATGAGCTCATCCTATTGGCTCTCTCCCCCAACTACAGACTGAATGGGATTACTCCTCATCTCCTCCATTTCCCCCACCCTAATCTAAACCCATCACCTCTCACCTACTTTACTCTGAGAGCCGACTCTCTCCCTGTCTCCACTCTGGCCCCTATAGTCCATGATGCTCCACAGAACAGAGTGACCTTTTTAAAAGTGTCAGTCATGTTCTATTCATCCTTCCACTTGAAGTCCTCCTTGATTTCAGCTAGAATAAAAGCTAAACTCTTCCATTTGGACTTTAGGGACCTCAGAGTTGGCCCCTGTCCCCTCTCTGGCCCTGTCTCTGTTTCTCCTCATTAATTACACATCAGCCACGCTGGACCTTGCTGGGGAACACTCTGCCTTCAAAATGTCACATGACCGCCGTCCACATATTTGGGTCTCTGCTGTAAACAGCGCCTCCTAAGGTAATCTCTTTTGGCTTGACATAGGCTGCTCCCAGCCAGCTCCTGTCCTTCTCTGCCATAGGACCCTGCTTCATTTACATATAGCACCTGTCACTATCTGAAATGATGTGTGTGTTCATTATCTATCTTGCTGGCTGAGATAACAGTTCCATGAGAACAGATTCTGTCTTGCTCACTGCTGTATTCTCAGGAACAGTTCCCAGCATGAAATCGGTGCACTCCTATAACCAATTGTTTTGTGAGTTGATGAACTGGTTGTTAGCACAGGAGCTCAGGGATCAGTGAAGAGGGCAGCTGACTCACTCGATCGAAGGCATGTTGGGTGCAGACATCGGGCTGACCTCCTTGGCCTTCTGCAGTGCATGTTTCTGGTTGAAGGCCTCTTCTTCCTCCTGTTCATCCTAGACACAAAGCAGAGAGGGCTTTGCCTGGGATCCCCAGGAAGGAGAGTAGCTTCCCTTGGCTCTCCTAAGGAGGAGTTCTGAATACCAAGTGAAGAGAGGAAGACATAGGATGAGGATAAACAAGGCAGTGAGATGTTAGGTTGGCTGGGAGACCTATGATGGCCAGAGGCCAGGCCTCTTGGGACACAGCAGCCTCACAGCTCTATTGTGGCTGGGAATCCTTGTCTCCATCCCGGAGCCATCCACAGGCTGCCCAGGAGAATCAGGAGAAGTCTACCCCAACCCCTAGCCCTCAGTAGAGCTGGTTATGCTGTGGAGGTCAGTGGCAGGAGCTGACACTTCTCAGATGTCCTACAATGTCTGGAAGCGATAGAGCAGGGGCCTTCCAGGCAAGGAGCCCACTGAGTAAAGTGCTGAGTGCCCCATTGCCGTGTCTAACCTGCACAGCTAAGTGGGTGCTCAGGCAGAGATCTCATCTGGTCAGCATCATTCCTATAAGTGTCCCCTCTATGTGATAAACCTAGGGAAAACCAGCTCAAGTAAAATGACTAGAGCTGATAATAGCACATCCATCCTCAGAGCATGCTATGGTTTTCCACAGGCATTATTCCATTTGATCCTCACAGTAAACCTGTGCGGTATACAATGTGGGTACAGCATTCCCGTCTCACACATGAGGAAACCAATGCTAATGGAGATTGGGAGTCCAAACCAAGCCAACACAGTCAATGCAGGCATGGGATTCAGATCCAGTTTCTCAGCTACTAAAGTCGGTATTTTTCCTACCATATGTGCAGATACAAAGCCCCTCAAGGATGTACAAAGAACATCACAGAATGCATTGGAAGAAGCTCAGAAATGACAGCAGGATGCTATGCACCTCTTCCCAAAACCACATCGGCCCTCTCTATGGGGAGAAGGGATTTTACTCATCTCTGTAGACCATCCCACTGCGGTGAATGTTGCCTCCCCAGACTGGGGAAGTTAATCAGAAAAGGAAGGAGCTGTTCTATGAGAAATTTAGTATCTGGCTTCATTGAAATTTCCCCAAAATGACCATGTCCACTGGAATAATCCAACAGCCATAGCCCGGGAACTGTGACGGCCATGACCTCTCTCCCACCAAAACCCAGAGGGTTAAGTCATGTGATCTGGGTCACAGTGCCATAGATGGCAGTAGCAGAGATGGAAGTGAAAACCAGACTCTAGAATTTTCTTCACTCTCCATGATAATCCTGGAAAGGACTCCTTTGAGGGACCACAGAAATTAAGATGTTATTTTCTGTGTTTCTTGAATACCCCAGGCTAGATTGAGGCTCACCAAACTCAATAAAAGTGAATTAGGCTTCCTTCAGGGGTGTGTGGTTATCCAACTGTCCAGAAGTTTCCAGAAAGGTCCTTCCTAGCAGGCCTGAGTTAGACAATGTAAACTTTTGGAGAGGGTTCCAAATGCTGGAGGGTACCCAATGGCATTAGAGAAACATCGGATACCTAGAACAATGCTTACCTTGGTCAGCTCCTGGGCGTTGGCCAGATTATCCACAGCGATAGCCAAGAACACATTCAGTAGCGTGTCTAGGGTGATGAATTAAGGATGGGCAAACAAGAAAAACAAAAGTCTTCAGCAAGGCTGAGAGGCCACCTAATGATCTTTCCTGCCCCGGACACTAACAGGAACAGAAGCTACCCTGAAGAGTCACTTAAGCAGGGGCTGTGGACTTAAGTCCACAGAGAGGGAAAGGTTGTACAACTCTGTTGAAAGGAGAAAGGATATGTTTTCCCTCCTTCTGCATATCATCTCTTTACCCAGGATAAAGAAATGCCTGAATTAAACCACCTGGGGGCCAGACGGGGTGAGAAGAATTAAGATACTGTGAAAAAGTATTATTTGGTCTTCAACTGTGTTTCCTGGCATACAACTCTTAAAATCCTTAGAAACTCCAAAGTGTTATCTGGTAGCACCTAGGTAGCTTCTGGGTGGGGGCTGGTCAGCAAACCAAGGCAAGGTTAGGGGGTTGGGACTTTCAGCCCTAACCCCCCAATCTCTAGGGAGAGGAGAGAGGCTGAAGGTTAAGTTGATCATCAATGGCCAAAGGATTAATTAATCATGCCTATGTAATGAAGACTCCATAAAAATCCAAAAGGACAGGGTTCAGAAAGCTTCTGCATAGCTGAACATGTGGAGGTCCCAAGAGACTGGCACTCCCAAGAGGGCATGAAAGCTCCATGCCCATCCCACATGCCTTTCCTTCTCCCCTCTCTTCAACTGTATCCTTTGTAATATCCTTTATAATAAACCAGTAAATGTGTTTCCCTGGGTTCTGTGAGCCACTCTAGCAAATTAACCAAGCCCAGGAAGGGGCTTGTGGGAACACTGAATTATAGCCTATGGGTCAGAAGCACAGGCTAAGTCACCTGAGGCATGCAACTGTCATCAGAAGGTAGGGGTAGTCTTGGGGATGGAGCCCTGAACCCGTGGGATCTGATGCTACCTCCGGGTAGACAGCATCAAAATTGAATTCGAGGACACCAACTAGTATTCACTGCAGGACTGCTTGCTTGTTGGTGGGTAAAAAAAACCCATGCATTTGGTCATAGAAGTCTTCTGTGCTGATTGTTGACAAGTAAGGGAACACTCCGAGGAAGAGAAAGCACTGTGAGTTTGTTCAGCCACATTCAAAAGGTCTTTAGACAGCTGTGACCTTTACCCATAGCAATACCAACTAAGAGAATCGATGAGTGAGATGTGTAGGGGCTCAGCATAGGAGCTCATCTCCCCATTCTGGGAGGCTGGAATTGAATCTCACCTACACTAATGAGCATCACACTATTCTGTCCTTAAGTACAAACCAAAGTGAGATTCCACAGCTCCTGCTACTGAGCATCTCCCCAAAATGAGATGCTAACTTCTTGCATTCTTCTTGTGAAGGTCCTGAAGGGTTCCACATTTCATTTAACAAAATGTCACACAGCAGACATGATTCACTCTGAAATCCACTCCTATGCCACACTGTAGCCCCTGAAGGCTCAATTTCCAGCTGTCTTCAAAGCCTAGGTGTTGTGGAACATAGAGCTGTTCTAGCATCGAAGCCCAGCTGACAACCCTCAGAATATCAGGAAAATCACGGTGCCATTGGGACGCGTGGAGCTTCCACATCTGTGACTCACAGCCTTGCATTCTTTTCATGAGTTCTCATATTGTGCTTCTAGTCTGATCCAACCTCTAGAAGTTTTCAGAGCAGAAAATGTCAAAGAGCACGCCTTCTCTATGAAACTATGAAAAATGCAAAAGTACATCTACATCCCATGTCTCTCCCTTTCTGTTCTGCTAATCCAAATTCACAGCAAACCCCACTCCCAAAAGCATCTCACAGTTGTATAAAAGTCTGTAGTTATAAATCACATGCAAATAAATCATCTCATTTAGTATTCACCACTAACAAAGGAGATAAATAGTGTTATTCTCCTTTCAGTTGTGAAAAACAGAAGCCCAGAGTGATTAAGAAATTTTCCCAGAGCCACACAACGGACACTCAGAGTTGCTGGAATTAAAACCTCAATCTCGTGGTCTAAATTTTATGATTGAAAAGGGGCACTGGAGTTAGATGGAACTGGTCTGTAGTCTCCCTTTACAATTCAGTAGTTCTTTTACTTAACTGAGATATATTTTCTTCGTCTTGTAAGGATTAGATGAAACACTGGCTATAAAGCACTTATTTTAATGTCTCACATGTAGCACAAAGACAATAAATATTCGCTGTAATTCCTAGTAATAGCATTAACCCTAACACTAATTTCTGAGATCTCACTATGTGGTAGGCTCTGTCCGACGTGAGCATGTAATTAAATCATTAGTGCTACAATGTGCCTGCTATTTCAGCCTACGGTGATCTCCGCCTTCTCTAATATTCCCCAGCTCATAGTACCTCCAGCCATTCAATTTAACAGCCTCCTGTGTATGCGACAGATTTGGATAATACTCTATCTTATGTTTGCATTATTGACCCAACTGGTACACAAATTCCTTCAGATCAGGATCCCGATTACTTTAGTACACCAAACAATGTCCCTGCCCCTGCCCCATCAACCCCCGCTCTAGCACCACCACCACCACCACCACCTCCTCAGATGCTGGTCCAGGAAAGCGGGCAGCTTGAGGAGGTGCATCTTGAAAAGGATACAGTTGCCAAACAAGGTGAGCACAATGAAGTAGATGGCAGACCACATGCCTGAGCTGACCCCGCCCTGGGAGCGGATCCCATTGTACATCACCTCGTTCCAGTCCTCACCTGTCAGGATCTACACAAAGCAGATGACAGGCATGTCACAACCCTGGGCTGGTGGAGGAAATGGGGCCAGTACCAAGGGCAAATTCTGGGCCTAGGTCTTTTGCATCTATCCCCTTGCTTGACTATCCTGCCAGGGAGTTATATAAAAAATAGTAATTCCCATAAATCATCCTAAACTTTCTTTTGATATGGAAGAGAATTTTAGGCATTGAAAACAGAAGGAGAGCGTCAAAGGGAAAGGTTCTGTTCCTCCAACTACAGAGTATCTCCCACTCCAGCTTTGCAAGGTCCTTGTGGAAATCACACAGATCAGGTGGTCTGGTCATTATCTAACTGTCCTCAGAGCTGCCCAGATGCACTGTCTGGAGTGGCAGCATGATTAGAAAGAGCCTTGTGGGGTTGCAGTTCAGGAAACCTGGGTTGTGGTCCAACCTCAGATTCTGGCCAAATAGAATTTTTCCTTAGGTCTAAGACACTATTGATTTTGAGTTTTCCCCATGATTTAAACAGTTGAGTTTTGAGGGAAGTGAGGGTGAAAAAGAGACCTTGTTAAATAAACACCATTTATTGGACACCTCCTTAAATGGGTTAGAAGCTGCCCCCAGATTTCAGAAAACCACAAATGTGATTCTTGGCTGAATGTCTCTGACTCAGGGTCTCCTGCAAACTCAAAGGTGTGGGAGGAGGACAGTGAGGTGGTCCCAACAGAGCTCTCATATTACTGGCAAGAACAAAGCCACAGAAGTTCTAGGGATTACTGTTGCAATGACTGCCGAACTAGGAGTGCCTCATCCCCTGGGAGGAGCCTGGTGAGGAAATCCAAATTCTCCTGACACTCATCCTTGTCTTGCAGTGTGCAGTCCAAGGGACCCCACACAGCACTTCTGACCTGTCAGCTGGCCTCATACCTGGAACACGGTCATGATGGCTGCAGGGAAGGTGTCAAAGTTTGCTGAAGGAGTCCCATCATTAAAGTTAAACCTGATAAATAAAATGGAGAAAAGAATGGAATGAAATTCTCACATACCAAGTTTTTCATTCCCAAGATCATAGCTTTTTCTTTTCTCCTTTCTTCCACAATCCTCCTCTTCCCTACTTTTTCCCAGTTCCACATAACTTACAAAGACTGTAACAGTTGCTACTATTGATGAACTATGCACTTTGAGGGATGTGGGTAATAAGACAGGGGTTGGGCTGCCCATGCTGCACATTTCCGGGACAGCACAAAAGACATGGGTCCCCAGAACAAGAACCCTTTACAGCATGAAAGGAATAAAATGGAGAGGTTTACTCCACATACACACTCACTCAGGGGTCAATTCAGGCCATGGGCAAGGGCAGACAAGAGAGTAGTAACATGGTGGACGGAGTTAATGACCCTAGCCCAACACAGGCTATAACTGGGTTTTGAGCCTCTTTTGGATGGAAAGCTTCTGAGCACTTACCTGCCTCCAAATAACTGCATTCCCAGGAGAGCAAAGACAACGATGAAGAGGAAGAGGAGGAAAAGTAAACTGATGATAGACTTCATGGAGCTCATCAAGGAGACCACCAAATTCCGTAGGGAAGCCCAATACCTACAAAACCCAGACAATGTGACAGCTGGGAACACTGCATACCAAGTCACCCCCGCAAGCCCAGCTCAGCATCTGCCTTGTAGTCTATGAAATAAGCTGCATTGGTTTATTTGTAGGAAGTAGAGAGGGCAGCAACCTATTGCTCCCCTTGGGAGTGTGGCATCATAGATATTTTCGGTTTAATCTTTGGAGAAGAAGGAAGAGCTGTAGAGAAGGGGTGGGGCAGGGAAGGGATACTTCCCTCCAAGGGGGAAAGAGGAGATGGAAGAAAATTTAAGTCAGAAAGAAGGGTCTACTCTCAAAGTCACTGGGAAAAGTCCAAATTCTGATCACTTACTTGGTTATTTTAAATATTCTTAGAAGCCGGAGGGCTCGCAAGACACTGATTCCAAAAGATGTACCAGGTCTGAAGATTGCCCAGACCACTTCAAAGATACTGCCCACTGTGACCTAGAGAAGCAATGCCAGCCACAGTAAGAGGAGGAGGAAGGAGGGGAGGAAGAGGGCAGAGGAGGAGAAGAGGGGGCATTCTAGCACCCAGCACACAATCAACAGCTCTCCGTGGGGGGTGGGGAAATAAAAACTCTCCTCTCCCACCAGCCCTACCTTCAGTGGAACTACCTATGTGGGCAGCTGCCACGTCGCTCCCATTGCTCTCCAATCCCCTTCCTAACTTTAATACTTTGTACTGTAGATTGGCTTTCTGACTCCTGTCCTTGGTGAAAACTACAACAACCAGTTGCTGCTTCTGCTGCTCTGACACTACAACCCCTTGAAGAAACTGACAAAGGAGTGGCACTCAAACCACGGAAACTAATTTGAATTAGTACAAGTTGCATCTCAACACAGAAATTTCAGAGGTCTGCATTCTCTCATCATCCTGAAAGTTAGCGCTAACAAGAACATGTTGGTCCTTGATATAATAAATATCTTTCAGTCATTGAGGTCTTGCATCCCTCAATGCGATGGTTCATAGTGATGTAAGATCTGATTGCTACAAGATGCAGCAATTTCAGATGAACATTTCAATTTCCTTTTGTTTTAATTATGTATTTATCGAATGTCCACTGTGTTCTAGATATTGTGCTAGGAAAAATAACAAGTATTAATCCTGACAGCAATGCTGAAAGGTATGGACTTGTATCTTAGTTTCTTTGTAGAAACTAAGGTCAAAGTGATCTCTCACTAGCTGTTATGCCTGAAAATTGCCCATACTCAGAACCCTGTTCCAAGTTAAAACATAGATTAGCAAGTGCTCAAAATCTTTAGCACCTAACTAACTGAAGATTTGGTAGAAACAATAGTGGGACTGGCAGAAAGAGAAGTGGTCAGGAGCCCAAAGTTCTGTGACCCAGTTCTGCTGCTCAGTGGGTATACGAACTTGGTCACGATAGCTGCTGTTTATTCTTGTTTAAGTGGGAAGACTAACTCCTGAAATGTAATATAGTTCACAGGACTCCTGTAAGCAGCAGGGGACAAAAAAAAGGATATGTGAAAGCACCTTTGAGTGTTAGCATAATAGATACATTTAGATATCCATACTACGTAGAAAGTAAACAGCCAACTGAGATATTCTATGTGGGGACGTGCTAATATAAGGGTGTGTGTGTGTGTGCGCGTGTGTGTATCTAGATAATTATCCCAATTTTAAGTGGAAATAAAAAAATAAATATATAACCTTCTCTTTCCTATGGAACCACCTCTAGAATCAAGCCCTTTGTCCTTGTCAGGCTTCCCCCAAGATAATAAGTGGTTGAAAACTCTGGCTCTGGGTAGCTTTGTAAACTCTCAGGGAGCTGTACACTTAAGTGTACCCTCTATAATGCATGTTACATTTTAATAAAAATATTAAAAATCAAAGAGCTTAGAAAAACAAACCAATCAACCCTTGCATGGGAAGGATTCACTGACTTCTGAGTTCCCTTTAGCTAATCTTATCTATTCTGCTTTTATATATTCTGATTTCAATGCCTCATGCTGAGTAAGGAGGAAGCTGCTTATCTACAACCAGGGCCTATCAACACGAAGCAGAAGCACAAGCAGGCTTTCGAGGACTTACCCCAAAATCAAAGCAGTTGAATGAAGAGTGAAAATAAAGGCGAGGCCCCATGCCATACATCTTCAGGGACATCTCCAAGAGGAAGAGTCCCAGAAACAGAAATTCTGCATAGTCTGGAAGTATTAAAAGTAGAGCATTGGTTCCACGTGTGGGGTGGGCTTGTGCACCCCTCAGCTAGCACACCTACCTACAGAAGAGCTCATAGCAACGCATGGTCAGGATACTCAGTGGCCATGTCAGGCCGGGGCTGGGCAGAGCCTAATGATGTCTGAGCACCCTCTGACCCAGGCTGAGTCCCAAGCATGCTCAACAAATCAGCATTGCTCGCTTTCAATAGGTAAGCCTGTCACTGGCCTTTATATGGCTGAGAGCCCTCAGAGGGGAAAGAGAGGACTTACCACGTCTTTGATGAAAGAGCTGGATTCCTTCCCACACACCCAGCAGGGACAGGCCCCCGACCCTCACTCTCACCCAGGGGCAGTCTAATCCAAAGCTGACCTAGAAGTTCTTCTTTTGGTCTATTTGACATCTCCATCGCCTTGAGAACTTCCTGTCCAGGATTTCCATGATCAAAACTTCCTAACACTGAGCCTCCCTAAGACAGGAAGTGAAGGCTTTATGGTACCAAAAGGTGTAACTTATGCTATCTTGTTGATTCATCAACAATGATCTGTTTACCTAAAGAATGAAAGCTGGAAGCAGTCACGAGATACTCCAGCCCCGCTTGAGGACAATGTGGCCTCCCTCACAGTGCGAAGAGGCAGAACCCCTCCTAACAGGGCGCTTTGCTATCTTGTGTTCACACACACATCAAGCTGCCCCACATGGGGGCCAGCAGAGGAGGCTTTAGAGAGAGGCTTTACTTACAGAGGAGGTGGGTGAGCCACTGGGGCTGGTTGTGATGGACGATGGCCACACAGGCAGTGTTGAGTGCCACAAGGCTCAGCACAATCCAGTAAAACACCTGGGATTTAACCATGTGGCGAATGGAGATGCGCAGAAGCCTTTCCTTGTGCCGGAAATAAGAGACCCCATCTACCTTTGTACTTTTGATACTGGCTCGAGCCAAAGGTGTGCCTAAGGGGGAGAAGGAAAGAGAAAGAATGAGGCTGCAAAGTATCCTGTGGTCACCCTCAATGGTCAGGGAGCATTCGAAGGGCAAGACAGGCTGCTCTAATCCCAGGGGAAGGTGACCACCACATTGCCGGCCTGGGGAATCCCCATCTTGTGGGCTCTGTAGTTTCTGCAGGCAGGGACGCTATTTTTCCTCTCTGGGCACTCTCAGTCCTAGGAAATTTAAGGAGTCCCCAGGCAGGACACCAGTGTCTTGACTCTTAATAGGATCATGTTTATGTTCGCAACAGGTTGGGCTTCTCTCTTGCCCTTTCCTTTTAAATATGCTTCAAGGGCCGGGCGCGGTGGCTCACGCCTGTTATCCCAGCACTTTGGGAGGCCGAGGCGGGTGGATCACGAGGTCAAGAGATCGAGACCATCCTGGTCAACATGGTGAAATGCTGTCTCTACTAAAAATACAAAAAATTAGCTGGGCATGGTGGTGTGTGCCTGTAATCCCAGCTACTCAGGAGGCTGAGGCAGGAGAATTGCCTGAACCCAGGAGGCAGAGGTGGCGGTGAGCCGAGATGGCGCCATTGCACTCCAGCCTAGGTAACGAGTGAAACTCCATCTCAAAAAAAAAAAAAAAAAAAAAAAAAATGCTTCAAACATCAAAATCTTTCTGCTGCATTGGTGATATTTCTACCACTGGCAGCACAAAAGAGCAATGAGCTTTGTAAGTCTCTTCTGCTTTTCAGGATGGAACAAGACCTGTCCCTTTGTCTGGGGAGGAAAAACCAGCCATTGGCCACAATCTCTAGGAGAACCTGAGATGGAACGCATCATGTTAAAGACTTGCCAATCAGACTGAGTTTAAATTTCACATGATGGAAGTAGGTGGGGGCTGCTGTGGTTAAGCACATGGCTTCAAGATCTCACATCTGGGTCCCTGTAAGCCACAGTTCCTCAGAATCCTTTGAACAATGTCCCAAAGTGGATTCTCATCATCACACCCAGGAGAGGGTGGATAGCTCTGCAAATGGAATACATCTGCCATACCTGAAGACACTGGGTTGGATTCTTAGCCCTAAACCCTGTCAACCCCGTGTTTCATGTGAACAGCGTCCCCAGGTCTTTTTTTCTTTTTCTTTTTTCTTTTTTTTTTTTTTTTTTGTAATCTAGATTAGATTTCTGCCCTTTTCCTTAATTGCATTCCTAAATTCAAAACTCTTTGGATTCTTTCCCTCCTTGTGGTGCTTCTCAAAGGCAGGATATTCCTTTTCATGGGAGACTCAGAGAGGTAAAAGATCCAACTGGATCCACTCACCCACAGAGGAGATATCAACACAGTGCTCATCACTGGAGTCTCGGGTCATGGCCTCTGTCCGGCTCCTTTTGATGGTTGCCCTTCGAAGCACTACAGCAGGGAAAGGGAAGGCCAGTGAGAGGCCACAAATACTCCTAGACCATTCTAGATAAAATTTGAGGACTGCAGGCAAGAGGCCTTGTGTGAGGTCCCTGTGACACAGGCATCTGCCTTTAATACCTGAGCCGGGGTAACAGAAATCAAGGATGCCTACAGGACCACCAGAAATCAAGGATGTCTACAGGTGCCGTGCTCACCAGCACCTCCTGAAATACAAGGGCTCTGGAAGCGATGCTAGAGCCTGTCTAACTGCAGGAGGTAAACAGGCACTCTGTCTCCATCTGTCCTGGCTCTTCAACTGCAGTGCCACCTCCTGGTAATGAAAATAGTCTCAAGGTGATCCCCACACCTTTTAAGAGAAGGTCCCTTTAGATAGCATTGGTTGCAGGATGGCCTTTCTCTTGCTCAGTATCAATCACATGCCTTGGAACAAAGCAACTCTTGGGTTTCAGTTTGATCGCTTTAAAAGGCATTTAAATCTGTGACTCAGTTCCCTTCATTTTAAAGCATGAAGGATTTTATGACAGAAAGACTCTCATTTCAAATCCCAGAGCACCCTCTTTTCTTTCTCCCCTTTTGATCAAGAGAGATTGCCATCGCCTAAGAGGGGGCAGATACAGCAGAATCAGGCATCAGAGCATTTCCTTACCTTCTAAGGCGGATGTTCCAGCATTTTTATTTTCTTCAGCGAGCATGACTTCCTCTATATGGAAACAAATGGTTTGGTAAATTATCTGTAAACGCCAAATTATTCTGCAAGACGAAAATCCCTCAGGGACAGCTCCAGCTCAGGGCAACAGAGAGCGAGCAGAGTTCAGAGCCTGTCATAGCCACCAGCTTCAGAAAGAAAGCAAGTGTCACAGAGGGTGCACAGAGAGCTCCTGAGAACAGAAAGGAAGCCTCGGGTAGGGGATGCTTGGGGGGAACTGGTAAGTCAGCTCTGTGTCTAATACCTCTATTCAGGAGGATACCTGTGAGAGGAGAAGAGGCTAAAATCCCCCAAATCGATAGGAATGAAAAATTTCCATTTCTGTCTTTAATTCCACCCAGCTTCCCATCTTTCCTAACTCCCTGAACTTCTAGCAACAAGAGCTTGCTTAGCTTCTCTTGCCAGTGGCCACTGGTCATAACATCTACACCCTCATCCAGGAGCTGAGCCCACGTTTTGGGCATTAGTCTATGTCTCTGAGGAGGGGTCAGAGGAAGACGCCCAAAGGTCTTCGGAGACAGCAGCGGGGCTTGTGGGCTTCCTCCTGTCCCCAATGCTTCAATCCTGTCTTGGGTGACCAGAGCCTCAGCCAAAGAGGCTTGGGCCCATCATGAATTTGTCTCTAAGGTATAATGAAAAAAAATAAGTATTTGGTTTTTGTCTCTGGTTCCTGGCAGTCCTTCATATGCTAATGAAATGACTCATGGAGGAGAGAGGGGCCCTGGATAGCTTAGAGGAGATAGCTTGTGGCCAGAACTTTCAGCCTCCCCTACTCCCACTTCTGGGGAGGAGGGGGCACTAGAGATGAGTTTAATTGCCAATGGCTGATAATTTAATCGAGCATGCCTATGTAATGAAATATCCATAAACCCCCCTAAATGTTGGGGTTCAGGAAGCATCTGAGTTGGGAGGGTAGTGTTCCCAAAGAGGACATGAAGCTCTGTGTCCCCACCCCCATTCCCTGCCCTGTCACTCCTTCTATTGGGCTGCTCCTGAGTTGTAGCTGTTCCAATACAGTCTGGTTTTTCCAAAGTTCTGTCAGTCATTCTAGCAAATTACTGAACCTGTGAAAAGTTCGGGGGGGTGGTGTGGGAATTCCCCGATTTGTAGTCAGCCAGGCAGATATGTTAACTGCCTGGAACCCCACTTTTGGCTGCCATCTAAAGTGGGGGCAGTCCTGTGGAACTGAGCCTTTAACCTGAGGGGTCTGTGCTAATTTCAGGTAGTACTGAGTGTTAGAATTTAGCTGATGGTTGAACACCTTGCTGATGTTAGAGAACTGAAGGATGGCTGGAATGATATATTTGCTTGTTGGAGTCCTGTAACGACACCACAGGGCCCCCTGTGCTCTTCCCTCTTGGGCCCCCAGGAGCAGTCCTATACTCTACTGAGGTGTCATATCTGAAGGGTAATATTTTCTATTAAGCCTTGCTGGCCCAAACTCACTAGCATCCCTCCAAGTGCACCAACAAAACAGGGATCTGATGGGATCCTGCGTGCCCTGTGAGGAGTGATGGGATGAGTTTTGAGCTCAACCCATAGGCCAGGGAGCTGCAGGCGTCAGTGAACATCCCCTAAGATCCCAGCTGCTGGGGGAAAGCTTGCTGCAGACCCTACTACGCAATGGTTTAATTCAAACACTTTTAACAAGTAAAAGGACAGGATAGGTGAAAGTCATTACCATAATTCCAGCTGCAGATAAAATGGAGAGTATATATATATATATTTTCTAGGGAGGGAAACACTTTAAAGCTGGGATGGTGTAGCACATGTTTGGAGGGCATCATTTTAAAATCAGGGACTTGTTAAAATACCTCATAGCAACTTTAATTACCTTAGCCAGACAGTCACTTTTGCTGTGCACCCTGTCTGGGCTTTGGGGTGGGCAGACCTGGGGACCCCCCAGGACAGATGGAAGGCGTGTGATGCTGCTGAGATCTCTGGGAAGAACTCAGGGCTCTGGATGTGCTGAAGCCACCCTCCTTCCTCCCTACCCCATGCCTTTTGCCAAGTTCGCTTTAGAATTTGAGTGTCTTTCCAGGGAAATGTAACCCATATGTCTCTGATTCACTTGCGCTCCATTTGTAAAGGGAAGGGCCAGGAAGCACACTTTGACGTCGCAGTGCGTCTTTTTTCTTAGAAGGAGGAGAGAGCTGGCTTTGCCAACTGGAAGAAAGGGAAGCCTTGGAATTCTGTAAGTATTTGAAAGGCAGAGACCCAGAGAGCAGCATACCGTGCCGCCTGACCTGTGTAGGTGGCCAGGGCTGAGAGGGCTCCTTCCTGGGTCTGCTGCCAGCTCTCTTAGTGGTCTGTCAGATGGCTCCTCCGCCGAGGAAGCCAAGGACAGCTGGGACCATCAAGCTGCCTGCCTGGCCTGCAGGCAAATCTGCTCGCCCTCCCATGGCAAGCCTGAGTTAACCATTCTGGGAAGAGGTAGGGGATATTCGTGTCTGCTTCATCCCTACACAATAGCCTTGGAGGAGAAAGGGCGAAATGCAAGTATAGTCAACACACATTGCTCATGTTACCAGAGGCTAAAGGGAGTGCAGATGCCAATCATATATGTAGTCTCCCAGCCCTTGGAGATCACCAAAGTTGACTGCAGAGTTGAGAGAGGGTTTTTGTGTGCTGGCATTCAAAATAAGTTCACAGTGTTATTCCAAAGCTCCTACAGAATGAGGTTCGAACAACTAAGCACTAAGTCATACTCCAAATTGTTCCTCTGTGACCTCACTTCTGTGCTATGTTTTCTATTAGGAATAGAGAATACATGCTGATTGTCTTATGTGTATTTTTTTATTTAAAATAATCACTATTTCCTCTGGAAGAAAATGAAGATACATAATACTAATGCAATCCAACCTTTAAAATAATAAAGAAAGTAAATCCGTCCCTTTTCCTGACAAGTATGGGAGTGATTGATGCCCCTGATAAGCATCCAAACCACAGCCAAACTCGAATCTGGTGGCTCTGTGGGTTAACGAAATCATGATAGGTTTGAACCTCTTCTCACAGGTGGCTGAGGACTATTCCTAATGCTGAGCCACAGGGTGAGAACTGATGACAGCTCAAGGCTTAGGAAAACACCTGTTTTCACCATCTCCTCCCCAGATGGTGGCAATGGCTTCACTACTATTCCCCCTGCTTCTAGCCTTGTCCTTCTATGGTCTATTCTCAATGCAGCCAGCACGTGCTCCTTTATGGTCTAAAGTCAGAGCATGCCAGGCTTCTGCTCAAAACTCCTGTGGTTCTTGTGTCACTCAGAATGAAGCCCATAACCCTTACAATGGCCCGTAAGGTCAAATATGATTGCTACCCACTCTGTCTCCTGTTACTCCTCCCTATTCCTTCCCCCTTCTGTTTCTTGGGCACCCCTGGCTCACTCCCATGTTAGGTACCTGGCACTGAAATACTCCTCTCCCAGATCTTCCTCTGGCTCACCCCTTCATCTCTTCAAGTCTGCAAACCAATGGGCCCACGCTGACCTCCTATTTAAAACTGTGGCACATGCTATACCCCATAACCCTACCTTGATCAGTTTCCCATTGTACTCACCACCTTATCATTGTCTTATGAGTTACTCATTTATTATTTTGTTTATTGCTGCCTCCATAACTAGGGAACTTTGCAAGAGAAGAGCTTTCATGAGCTGGCTGACCGTTTGGCTCATTGCTGTACCTCAAGTGCTTAGAACAGGGTCCTGACACAACACAGGAGGTCAGTAAATATCTGCTGAATGGATTGCTGTGGAACAGTATTATAAAACGCCACCAGCCCAGCCTCAGCTCCAGGATTGGGTTACATTTCTTTTACTCAGTTCACCTTGATAAGATGCCTGCCTTAAGGTGTTTGGTAGATGGGACAGCTTTCCCAGAGGAAAAAGGTGGGATGAACAGGGAACCTTAAGAGCCAAACAGCAGACATCCAGAGTGTCTCTTCTCTTGTCTAGGCTGCCCCTTGAATCAGGGCATTGGGAGTGAGGGGCCAGCCCTGATGTCTCCGCAGCCCACTCACCAGGCTCCTGCAGCCCCCCAGGCCTACCTGCTTTGTCTATCCAGGCCCGGTAGCCATTCAGCTCCCGTTCAATCTGCTGCTGGCGCCGCAGCTTCATGAAAGCCCTTCGGTTTTCCACTCTCTCTCTCTCTTTGGCAAATTCCCTGTGGACAAGAAGGATCAGATTCACTGGGTTTGGACAGGGCCATGACTAAGGGAGAGGGTGAATCAAGCAACAGAGACAGCATCTGAGCAACACCTCTATTAAGCCCATGTCGCCTTTCCTCTGACCAGGCTGCAACTGTGACCTCCTTACAATGTTACCCAGAAACACACCTCATTCAGCCTCACACAGGAAGCCTTCCCAGACTAGCTGCATTCCAGTCAGGACCAACTGATTGCTTGCTCTATTTTGAAAGGTATTTTCTTAGCCATGTGAGAAGTTAGATTTCAAAACGCCATGTTCCACCTCCTCCCCTACAATGAAAACCCTTAACCCTCTGAAGGGCACAGCTACCCTTTCTCCTTTTCATAACAATAGTAACTAATGTATATCGACCAGTGATGATATGTCAGCCCTGTATCAAGGTTTTCACACCCGTTAACTCATTTAATCCTCACAAGCATCCTATGAAGTATTAATACTATTAAAATTCCCATCTAACAGATGGCAGAGCTGAGGTTTAGCGGGGTGAAATGCCTTGCTGAGACGTGAACTCTAACCACAATGCTGTGCAGCCTCTGCTGCCCTGTACTCTGGTGCTGAATAAAAGCTGGCACTGAAGATCAATGAGGCTGATGACTTGAAAGCTTAAAATGCTATTCAAAGGTGGCAGATGTCAGTTAAATAAGAAAGGAAGGGTCGTGGGAAGGATACCTGACTCCCTTAAAGCCAGTGGGAAGGTGGGGTGGGTGGAGGAGAGATGAGGAGGCAGAGGGGAAGCCCAGGTGAGGTCAGTAAGAAGACAGAGCCCATGATAGGCTCAAGAGACCAATCTCACTCACTGTGACAACAGAATGAGAAGGCTTCAGCTCCATGGGAAAAGAGGAGAGAAGAGAACTAAGGGCTCCTTGTAGAGAAGAGGAGGATCAAACTCAATGGGTGAACAAATGGGGAGAAGTAAATCACAGTTTGCTAACAGGTTCCTCCAGAAGCCACCTCTAGCAATGCCTTTCTCCTTCCAGGCTAGGATGCCGCTTACCAGTGCAGTGGCTCCCAGCCATGGCTCAGGTGTTCTCCTACTACCCGGGAAGCTGTTTTCCTTATTAAATGTGATCCCCATAAAGAGCTGCAGGCCAGGCACAGTGGCTCATGCCTGTAATCCCAGCACTTTGGCAAGCTTAGGTGGAAGGACTGCTTGAGCCCAGGAGTTCGAGGTTACAATGAGCTGTGATCGTGCCACTGCACTCCAGCCTGGGTGACAGAGCAAGACATTGTTTAAAAAAAAAAAAAAGAGCTGTAGCCTGAATGTGAGAGGAGTCCAGCACTGATTGTGGGTCCTGCCAGTTTCTCTCTCATGTCCAGCAAAGAAGAAATGAATGAGGGGCTGGGGGATGGGTCCCAGCCACAGTGCAGAAAAAGAGAAGGTGCCAGTCTACCATAATGCCAAGAGACACCTGCTCGGGCCTCACCTGGCCTTTCTGCTGAGATAGAGCTGGTTTCCTTGGGTACAGCCACCTGCTTACAATCAGGCAGCGGGTATAAGGAAAGGCACATCGGAAGGAGAAATTCTCCTGCGCTTGGCTTCAGGTTCACTGGGATCTACTAAAGGTACAATTGGGGAAGGGAAGAAGAGAGCCAAAATAAAGAGTGACCAGGGCCAGTGACTGAATTCAAGCCCTGAAATGCCTCCTTTCCACTTTCTGAATTTCAGCAATTTGGAAGTAACAAGGGGCTGGCTTGGTTCGTGGCATCACCACCCACCAAAATTCGTACCTCTGGCTCTTTGCTTCTTTTCATCCCTCCTGTCCAATTAGTACCATTGTCTTGTTGGTTCTACCTTCAAAAAAGCACCCGAATTCACCCTGCCTCTCCATCCTCAGTATCGTGGTCAAGGACCTCACCCTTCCCTGCCTGGATCACTGCAAGAGCATCCAGCTGGTCTCTCAACCTGTCTCTTTCCCCTCCTTTCACCCATCTCACACTATCAACATTATCTTTTTTCTTGAGATGAAGTCTTGATCTGTCACCCAGACCGGAGTATAGTGGCATGATCTTGGCTCACTGCAACCTCCACCTTCCAGATTCAAGCAATTCTCCTGCCTCAACCTCCTGAGCAGCTGGGATTACAGGCACCCGCCACCATGCCCAACTAATGTTTTTATTTTTAGTAGAGTCAGGGTTTGACCATGTTGATCAGGCTGGTCTCAAAACTCCTGACCTCAGGTGACCCACGTACCTCGGCCTACCGAAGTGCTGGGATTACAGACATGAGCCACCACGCCCGGCCCAAGGTTATTTTTTTTTGAAGGTCATCTGATGGATCTTACCACTTCCATACCTCTAGTAATAACCATGGTAAGTAACGTGTAGAGCAGGTCTTAATGTACCAAGCACCTTCACGTATTTTGCTCATTTAATGTTTACAAGCATTCTGAGAAGGCAGAATAGGTATTTCATCCTTAACTTAAAAGTTATGCAACTTGATGGAGTTTAGGCGAGAAACAGACCCAAGATTCGAACCCAGGCCTCTCTCCCATAAGAGCCCGAGTCCTTCATGGCCCCCATGTTTGCCTAACCTAATGCATTTTTACATGCTACTCTATCTTATCATAGGTATAGGGCTTGATTTTTCAACTAAGCTCTGGGGGAATCCAGAGAGGTTTAATAAGAAGGTGATATTTTGAGCAAGACCTTGAAAAAGGAGAATTTAAGCAGGCTATGACCAGAGGAACATAATCATCCTGAACACCTAGGGTAAGCATTATGATCAACATATCCATTTTCCAGCTCAGAAAACTGAATCTAAAGGGACTTAAGTGGCCCTTTAAGAGGGCAAGTGTCCAAGGACACATAACCACTCAGAGGAACCATGACTCTCAGATGTAAATTCCATCTCTTTCTACTCTATTAGCGCCTCCTCTACAGCTTCCATCATCCTCTGCTGAATGAAGAGGATGAAGCCTTCAAGCGTGGCCTTCAGAGTCTTACATAGTTGGAGCCAAACCTTTCTCTTCCCACCATCCCCACCCACCCGCTGCCTGCCCACAGCCCACCACAGCCACGTTTCAACTACAGCACATTCCCCACACTTCCTGAAAAGGCAGGGTGGGCGTTCAAGGCTAGTGCACAATGCTTATCTGCCCGGAATTCCTTCTTATCTGCCTGAGTCAAAATCCTTCTCCAAGGCCAGGCTGGAACGTTGCCTCTTCTGTTTGGGCCCCATCATCCCCGACTCCCAACTTTCCGGCTTCCTGTCTACCTCTTCTTCATCTCTGTCAAGCTCATCTTGCAGTCAGTCCTTTACTGTGGTCAGCTGTATGTGTGACTGTCTCTCCTTGTGAGCTTTTTGTAAAAGCATTCTGTGCCTTATTCAACTTCCTATCTTCCCGGACTAGAATAGGCCTACCACATAGTGTATGTTCAGTAGATCCCTTTTTATGAAAAATATCCAGGCTTACTAGGAGAAATGATAGCTCTTCCCTGATTCCCAGAGGCTTAAAAGAAGGAGTACTCCATCTCTGCACTGACCCAAAGGGAGCAGGTAAACCAGCGGCAACTCCTGCATGCCGCCACCAGTTTCTCTTGGTTTGACTCCACTATAGTTACTGTAAATGAGAATAAGAAGAACGGAAAGTGTCATCTCTCTATGGCCCCCAGAATGATGATGTAGCTTGATTTCTGGTGGGAGAGATCAACAGACCCCAGTCTAACCTCCCTTTGTCTAATCTCTTCCAATCGCAGGTTAAGCACTATTTCCACATGCTCCCTGTGTTTGGAAGTTTCCTGGCTCCGGGTCTCACCAGCTGGTTTCCCTGCTCTTCTTTGCCATTGTAAGCTCCCTTTCCTCCCACCCTCCCTGGCATCCTAGCTGGAACTCACAGGCCCAGAGCCCGACAGATCTGGCCAAGCCTCTTGGCTAAAAGAAGTAAAGCAACAAATGTGCCCCACTGAGGGTACCTCCCAAGCAGCTCCAGCACCTTAATGGAGGATGTGGGGGGCCTCCATTATCAAGCGGCCTTTTCTGTTTTGTTCTTTCACTGGGAACCTGGGCAGCAAGTCCAGCACCTGTGTTTTTCCTAACTCTTGTCACCTTCCTCCCTCACTGTTATAATTGTTAGCACCCATGGCCTGTCTCCCTGACTAGTCTGCAGACTTCACGAAGTCAAGTAAAGCCTTCGTTGTATCACATTCCAACAAGGGTCTATGAAGCTTCACCCACTGTCTGGTATGACAGTAGATTCCATAGATTATAGAGACAAAATATCAAGAACAGCTAATGTTCATATAACACATTTCTACTTGTTAAATTTACACATTGTTTTCATGTAAACTATTTCATTTATACTTTCAAAAGCCCTGTGAGATTCAGGAGTTTTACTTGCCCAAAACAACCCAATTAGCATGAGGCAAAGACAAAATTCAAACTATTGTCTTCTTCCAGTTTATGTGCTGTTTTTATAATGCCTTAGCTGTCTTCCCTGCTATCTAGAAGTCAACATTTAAAATCTACAACAGGGATTTCATTTCAGCCCAAGGTTGAGGAAAATAAGGATATAAAAACAGATGGGTTTTGTTTTTCTTTAAGGGAGTATTCTTTTCATTGAGACAGTAGCATAAAAATCCATTGCTCTGTGTTGGGTTATTAAAGACCTAGAATAAAGTTCACAGCGTTAGTCAAGCCAGTGATCTACTGCTTTTGTTTCCATTTATTCATACACATATTGCATTCTGTAGAGAACAGGAGCAAATAAGATTCAGCTTCACAAACCTTAGATTTAACATGCCCACCAGGCTCATGAATATGTATGTGGCCAGACCAGGGAAAGAAAGCATACTCCTTCAGCTGGTCCCTCTCTCTCCTCTGAGGATCTGAGCACCCTTTCCTCTTTGCAGAGGATCCTGGGGTTATTCAGAGGATGATGCTTTTGCAAAGATAAAGCATATTACCATCATTTAGTTAACCAGATGACTGCTGAATTCCCCCACTGAAAGGCAGCTCGA